AATTAAACAACTCATACACCTGATTAGAATCCCAATTAGGTAGAGGATCAAATAAAATTCCTAGTGCAGTGTATCATTTTCTAACAACACATATGCTAAATTTATTGCGTTTCGCTAATGAAATTGACACATTTCTTTATATATATATATATATATATATATATATATATATATATATATATATATATATATATATATATATATATATATATATATATATATATATTTTATATATATATATATATATATATATATATATATATATATATATATTTATATATATATATATATATATATATATTTATATATTTATATATCTATGTATATACATATATATATATATATATATATATATATATATATATATATATATATATATATATATTTATATATTTATATATCTATGTATATACATATATATATATATATATATATATATATATATATATATATATATATATATATATATATATATATATATATATATATATATGTGTATATATATTTAGAATATAGCAATTTGTTTTCAAATCCAAGCAGCCGTCAAGTGCTCTTCCACGGTACTCTGTGATAAGATCGTAAGGACTTTACTGCAACACAAAATAAAATCTTGGAGAGATATGATAAGTTCCTTGCCGAAAAAACGTTCATTAAAAATTTAATAAACCTCCAACTAAACGGGAAGCAAAAGATAAGATTCAACCAAGTATTTAAAATTATCTGAAACTTTTATATTTATACTTAGTATAGAGGTATTCAAAAAATGATTTTTTTCTTTTTTTTTATGTTGATTTAGGTGCCCCAAGAAGTCCTTACGGTCTTATCACAGAGCACCGCGGAAGAGCATTTAATAGGAAGTTCACGCCTCCTTCCTAACCGATGTCGCAAAACTTGCCCAGAGGTGGTTTGAACCGCGGATCTTACGTTCCTGAGGCAAGTGCGCTACCACTGCGCCACGGCTGCTTATTAATTTTCGTAGATCATGATTTATTATATTAATTTACGTAGATCATGATTTTTGTTGTGATTACTACTTGATAGTTGAAAAAGTTGTTAAAAACTTTTAAGAGAGTATGCATTTTGATTACAGCTTACAAAGGTTACAAACTACGTTTCAAAATTTTCCATATTAAATACTTACAATCAAAATATTAAATACTTACAATCAAAAGTTAGTAAAACCATTGGTTTGATGTCCCGTCCTTATGTAAATACAGTTTATCTAAAGTTAATATACTTTTCTTTAATTCATTGTTTCATTAACTATGCTTATATTGCATGTGGTAGTACACATCCATAAAAACTTAAAAAAATGCTTAGTTTGCAAAAACATGCGTGTAGAATTATTTACGTGAAAAAAAGAGGGGAGCATTCTTAACCTTTAATGAGGAATATGAAAATGATGAATGTATACAAAATAAATTTTTACCAGCACCTAATTTTCATGTGAAGTTATATTACTAACCTAACTTCAGCTAATTTTCATTGTAAGTTTGAGAAATGTATAAATGAAAAATATTTCTTAAACAAATCAATCAAATTCCTTCAAACTGTCCAGGAAATTAAATAAATATGCAGAATATTTAGTTTAGTAGAATAGTTAAAACACCTAAGTACAAATAACTTTATAAGTAAAGAAAAAGATCATCTTTATAAGTAAAGGAAAAAGTTTAATAGTAACAGATTTACAAAAATCAACAAACTTGATGACAAAACTGTGCAGTTTGAAAAACATTGTTTAAGTAAAAGAAAACTAAAAAACAAAAAATGCAATAGTTCATTTAATAACAACGACGGTTAAAACATTCAAAAGTATTGGTAACAAGTAAACTCTTTGTTTACTTGTTGCCAATACTTTTGATAATAATAGCATTATAAATTGGGTATTCGTGGGTATTCGTCAATGAACGGTGTTGTATTTTCAAGAGAAATTGGAGAGTCTTTAGTCATAGCAGTTTTATCCAAATATTGCAAAGGATGTGCCATGTGGAAAAGTAAAAAACAAATCAGGGTACCTAATCTAGAAAACATATCATATTTGTCAAGCAAATCACAAAAAATCATCAGGTTCTATGGAGACTGCTAGTGCAATTTTGATGTTTTTTTGATCAGTAAAAATTACGGTTTGCGTTACACTTCATATATTGATGATAATGACACGTCATATTTTAATGAAGTCAAGTCTTCAAAATCATATGGCAAAGAAATAATTAAAAATCAGAATGTCTTAGCCACGTTCAGAAGCGATTTAGCACACGATGCTACAGTTTGCTTCAAAGTATGAAAGAAAAGATACTAAGTGGTGGAAAAAAGTTATATGGGACAGGAAGATTGACAGATAAGGTAATGAATAAACTTCAAAATTATTATGGAATGGCAATTAGGCAAAATAAACTATTATACCCAATGAAGAAATCTATTTGGGTTGTGTTATTTCATAATCGTAACATTAGTCATCAGTTCTGCCTTCAGTCCAGAAACAGTTGGTGCTTGTGACAGACAGATAAGTTTAATAATCAAAACAAATACAAAACGACATTGAATATACTATTGTCAATCAAAGCTGTTTTTTTTTAATCTATTATTTAGGTGCCCCAATAAGTCCTAACGGTCTTGTCACAGAGCACCGCGGATGTGCATTTAACCAGGAAGTTCACACCTCCTTCCTTACCGTGACGCGAAATATGTCCAAAGCTCGTTTCGAACCTGGATCTCCTGCTTATAAAGCAAGCGCTCTAACCACTGCGCCACGGCGCTCGATTGTTCTTCTCCCAATTTTCCAAATGTTTACATGGACAAACTCAAAACAACAAAAGAGCTTTAAATTCTATAATATGGAAAAAATGGCCCAAAATTTATTTTTGTTCAAAAAAAGGTTTTGTAGATTGGAGTTTCATCTGCAATATTACAGTTTAATGAAGGTGCTACTGGTATATGCAAAGTTTTTGAGCGTTTAAAAATTTCTATCGGATAATTTACAAACAAAGGATTTATTAAAAAAAACAACGAACGAATCAGAAAATCATAAAAACAAAAATAAAAAAAAAAGACAAAGAAAAATCTTTGAAATATAAGAAAAGGTTACTAAGACATAAAAAATAAAACATTAAAACAACCAGCTTATTTCCAGTCAACAAACAACCAGGTGGTTGGTAGTTGACTGGGAAACCTTATTATTTTTAAAACGTGTTTTTTGTCATTAGAAAATTTTCAATATATTCGATAACACAGAATAAAATTATATTTATATGCAGGAGTTCAATTAGGTTTCAATGTAAATCAGTTCATGAAAGATTGCCTAATATGTCCACCACCTGACATCTGCCTTTACTCCTAAACTATATGCATACAGTAGATGATTTTAGTACAACTCTTACCTCAATATGAGACTTTACCTCAATATGAGACCTATGTTATTGTAAAGTTTTAGAACAAATAAATGACCCTATCATGAGATATTGCATTCTGCATATTTACTTTTTCTGTGTTTTCAGGTTTTCAAGCGAGGCAAAAATTTTTTTTTTTTAGTTACTAATAATTTCAAAATTTATAAATTTTATCTTTTTATATGTAAAACTTCATCATTTAACATCATTAGAAGTTCCGCCCCAGATATGGCAACAGTATTCTATACAAGGTCGGATTTGAGATTTATAGATATAGAGAATAGAATCAGGAGTAAAAAGGTGTCGAGCTCGATAAAGAGATGTAACTCTAGCAGATGCTAATTTTGCAACGGATTTAATATATGGTTTCCGAAAAAGATCAGAAGTAAGAGTTAATCCTAGAAGATGAAGGGTAGATGACTCATCAAGTACATTACCGTTCATAAATATAGGAAGATCTAAATTATTGCAATAACCATTGGCTGAAAAAAAATTGAGTTTTATCTGAATTAAAGTTCACCAGTCATTGTGAGCCCCATGCTGTAGCAGAAATGAGATCCTTTTCAAGCTCAAATGCCCCCTCCAAGCAATCAGAGAGAGTTGGCTTCTTATCATGACAAGAATAAATGGTAGTATCATCAGCGAACAATGCCACCTTGATGTGAGAATATCTGGAAGATCGTTAATGTAAATTAAAAAGAGTATAGGGCCAAGTATTGGACCTTGAGAAATTCCTGAGGTTACAGAATAAGAAGAAGAGTGCTGTCCATCAAGGACAACTTTTATACTACGATCGGAAAGGAAGGATTTAATAATATTAAGGATGTTTCCAGATATACCGTAACTTAATAGCTTATGGAGAAGACTAGCATGCCAAACTTTATCAAACGCTTTAGAAATGTCAAGAGCAATAGCCTTAACCTCTCCACCTTTATCTAATTCGTTAAGCGAATAGTACTCTTTAAAGTTTAAGTATTTAAGTTATTGTACTCTTTTAAGTATAAGTATAAGTTTTAGTATTCTTTAAAGAGTTGTTTTTTAGAAAAACGTAAAAGATTTATCCGACCGGAAATAAGGTTTTTTTGACAGTAAAATATCCGATGCTTCTATATAGTGTGTTGGTATACCGAATATAATATCCGGTACGAATCTAGAAATCAGTCGTATTTCATGATAATCACGCACATCTTATCAAAATCATTTACGACTCATCAGTCGTATCTTATGATACACGGGTCGTGTCGCATGATTTAACTTATAGTAACTTAATTTTTGAATATTTATCTTTAAATTTCAAAATTTCGAAAAAAAAGTCAATAGTTATTGACTTTTTTTTCGAAATTTTGAAATATTAAAATCTATATAGATTTTAATATTTACTATACATAAAAACATTAAGAAATTTTACAAGTTTAAGTTGTAAAATTTTCTTTTGGAAAAATTATATTTTGAAATTATAATATTTTCATAAAATATTGTTTTACCATTAGTCACTGTTATAAATTTTATAAGTTTATGTCAATTGATTGTCGTTTAGCCAACAAAATGTCATTATTTGTCAATTATCAACTATAATTACAGATCTTTTAGAATCAATTTTAGTTTTTTTGTTGATAATTTCGTTAAATCGACAATAAACGAGCTTAGACCAAATTATTTTGTAATTTAAATTTTTATTCCTGTTTTACCTATTGAATTTAAAAAAAATTTTTTAGCAACATGATTAAGCAAACAGTTTGCAATGCTACTGATCTTCGTGAAGGAGAGTAAGTTTTGAAAAATTTATAATTTTTTTTCAATGAATCTATCTATATGGCCAGACAAAATTTAATCTGGTGAAAAGCTAAAATTAATTATTTTTCTTTTTTTTTTTTAGGCTTAAAGAGTTTGATTTAGGACCAGGAAAAGTATTACTATCAAAAGTAAATGGTCAAATTAGTGCTGTTAGTTCTAAATGTACCCATTATGGGGCCCCTCTTATAACTGGAGCATACAAAAATGGTAAAGTTAGATGCCCTTGGCATGGAGCATGTTTTAGCACTATTACTGGAGACATAGAAGATTTTCCAGGTCTTGATTGTTTGCAAATGTTCAAAGTAATTTAATAATTTTTTTTCAGTAATTTTTTTTTTTGCTTGTATAATTTTAGTGAATTTATAGTTTTGTTGTTTGGGTTCATATTTGTTAAATAAAGTTTGTTCAAAAGTTACCTAGAAGTAGTGCAGCTATACTCAATGTAATGCTGTGCTATTGTTAATGTAATATTGGTATAGTGATATTAGTAAAGTCATATTTATGAGAATTATGGAATTGCTTTAATTTCTATTTGATCATTAATTTAGTGATGATTATATTATAAAATTTTACAAATCTACTGTCTATAAATTATGTTGTTAAAACTAATATTTAAACATTAAGAAGACATTAGATACACAAAGTGAAAAATTTTTTTATACTGATTATATAATAGCTTTTAGAAAAATCTGTTAATGCTTGAGTTTAAATAGTGATCATTTTGTAAGGAATCAAACCATCCAAAATGGATAGGATCATTATTTTTATTTTGCCTGATTCTAGTTTTTAAATAGTAACTAAATAAGTAAAGCAGATATAATATGGCTCGACTCTGTATGATATTTTACTATAGATTATGAAAAAGGCCAGAGACAAGTAGCTTATTTTTTCTAAGTATAAGCTATGGTTTCATTAAAGTCTATTCTGTATAGAGTTTTGGTGGAAAACTTATCAGGCATACAAAAAGTGGTAGTTTTTAATAAAACAAAATAAACCATAAGTAAGCTTTTGAAATAATAATTAACTAAATTAATGTTTATTAAAAAATCCCATAATCAGTTTTTAACTAATAAAATTATTTATTAGTTATGATAAACTTAGCATAAAGTCTTATATATTAAATGCTGTATATTGTTAATAAAATATAAAATTTGTTAAATTTAAAGGGATTAAAATATGTAAAATTTAAGGTTGTTAACCTATTTACTAGATCAGGAAACTAACTATTATAATTATGATAAAATAACCATGTTAAAATGTTGATTTTATTGTTTAGGTTTTGTTATTTTTCCCAATGCTTTTATTAACTCCTTTTAATTAACTTTCTGTTAGTCTGTGAGCATCAAATCTTGCAATCAATTTTTGAGTCACTTTCTTATGATAAATTTCCTTCAAATTTTGCATACATATTCTTGCTTGATGACAATAGAATATTTAATAATTAGTTTTGCAATAAGTCAATTAATTTAGTTAATTTTAATTAAGTTTATTTTTTATATGGAAAGAATAATTTTTAAAATAAGAATATTAATTCTTTTCCAATTTATATGCGCATTTAGTTTATTTGGATTAGGCATTGTCTTAGTAAACAGAATGCCTGAGGTTCAAGATCCGGCTCTTCCTTAATTTTTTTTTTTTTATAAATGCATACAGCTGATAGTTAATAAAACAAAAAAAGGAATATCATAAAAAATTTATTGCAAATAAAAGCATTGGGTTAACATATATAACATATTAAAGCATTTCCATGCCAGTTTATTTTATCTGTACTGTTTTTTGATCTCAACAATAAACCATCTTGCAATCTTCTATCAGCTAAGTTTGGAAGTTTCATCTTTTCTAACTGTTGTTTATATTTAATTCCTTTTGTAAACAAGTTTTAGTTGCTTGTTATTGGACTCTTTCTATGAGATCAATATCTTTAGCATAACCTATACACTAATATGGGTTTTCCTTATTTGAAATTTGTACTTTAAGTAAGGTTGCACTAATGTTATTTATTAATTTCACAGTTTTTTCTAGACTTGAGCATGTGTTATAATAAACCTAGTTTTATTAGCTCTTTTTATTTACAATGTTTACTATTTAACAATTATTTACTAATATTATTACTTATTATTAATTATTATTTACTAATGTTTACAATTAATTTAGTAACAATGACAAAGAAATCATCTGAGTTATTTTAAAATAAATTTTTAATTTTTGGTTGCTTTCATTTATTTCTGTTATCACTTTTGTGTCATCTGCTATTAACAAATGAATGGCTATCTGTTATGATATGTCATCTGCAGGCCTCGGCAAGAGTAAATGAGTGCAAGAGCAGAGAAAAGCTCTCCTAAAACAAACATGGAAAGCTATGCGAGCTGCTCCTCTAACTAACATCTTATGAGGTCTTTTGGTTTTAACACATGCTATCTGTTTATTCATTAAAATTGCTTATATATACAGATTGTTTAGATGTTTTGAGAATTTAATTATTTCAGAAATCTGCTGAAAACACTAAGCTAAACTAAGTTAGGAAAAATTATTAAACAAGAAAAAAAAAATAAAAAAAGATAAGAACTCCTTACAAAAAATAAAATATATAAGAACTAAAATAATACTCAAACTCAAAGAGAAAATTATTTTATGTTCTTTTAAGGTTTTCTTAAGGTCTTTAACAATTTTCTTTAGGCATTATGTCTTCCTTTGGACAATATTTATTTGTAAACAAAATGCAATTTTCAAATATAAAATTTATTTAATATATAACACAAAATACAGCTAAGTATTAATTTTTAATTTATTTATGTAATATTTCAGTCTGATTAGCTCAGACCGTTATCAGGCATAAAATAAAATACAATAAGAATCTCACAAAAAACATATGTAAAAAACCGTTTCAAATATAAAATTGTAAAGTTATGTTTAAAGATGTTTAAAAAAGTAATTAGTATTATAACTACATTCTTTCAAAATGAAAAATTTTAAAATTAAAGCTTAAATTAGTAAATAATTAAATTTAAGTAATAAGTTGTAAAAAATTTTTAACCTATCCAATATAGTATATTCAAAAATGTGTAGTCTTAAAAAAATGACTTAAGTTTGTTTTAAAATGTTTTTAAATCAAATAAAGTTATTTAAATAATAAAGAAGAGCTAATCTATTTTTGGATTACATCTAGAAAGAGACTCATTTAAGAATTGTTTTAATTGTAAGAAGTTAATATTAATAGATTTATTAATAAGAATTAATAGATCAATAGTTACCAATTAATAGATCTGGCATAAGTGCACTTAAAGAATTTGCAAAAACTGGCAAAATGTGAACATGTGTAAGTGCAAATGCAAGTTGTATATAAGTTTGTTCTATTTTTTTGAAAAAAATAAATGAAAAATCTATATCAACCTAAACCTCTGGTTGTATTAACCATGATCCTAAATCCATTTTCCAAAGATATTTATTATATTATCTGCAATATATTATTTGTTCTTGTTTTTTGATATAAATTATTAAATTTCATATAAATCACTAATTATTAGTGAAATGAACCTTTTTTTTTTAAAAAAAAAAAAAAAAAAACTCTGTTTGAAAAAATAAAATTTAATGCCACAAGCAGGGTTGTCTTAAGCTCTAGCCAGCATTTCTGAAAAATTTAACAGGGCTTACCTGGAGAGCGAGATCTATATTCCTTGGTATTGCAGTTTAAAGGGCCCCATTTTTTTAGGAGAACTTTTTTTCTTATTTTCTTTTATGGTATTATGTAAGTTTAGGGTCCTTGATTTAAAATAGCTTCAAGAGCCAAAATCTCTTTATCTGCTACTAACCTGTAAGGTGTAGAATCACTGCATATTTCTTTAACTCATGTTTTTTTAAAGTATTATAACATAAAACACTGTGCACCAGAGAGACCGCCAGGTTTTATGTCGTGGAACTCAAATGAAACCTTTTTTATTCAAGAATATTTGTATTATAACAATAAAAAATGATTTTTAAAATCCAAACAAATTGCTAAGGGTCATAAATGGGGCAAAAGGGTAAATACAAGGGGGGCACAAGCCCATTTAGGTATGCTAGTTGTAAGTTACAAAAAAAAAGTTTTTTATTCAAAAGTAATTGTTTAATAAAAATAGAAAAACCTTTTTTAAAAAAAAAAAAAAGTCAGGGGTTGTAAATGGGGCAAAGGGTAAAATTGAAGGGCCCTATGCCCATTTAAACATTTGAGATGCCCATTACAATAATTTTCAAAAATAAATGTCAAATATTTTAAGCAAAGTATAAACAAACAAAAAAAATTCAAAATATTTTTAATATTGTACATAATTCAACAAAATACAAACAATTCTTCTTCCTGCTCCAGAGCAATATGTCAAAGATACAGATAAATTTAACTCTATTAGATTAATTTATAGATAATTAAAAGATAAATTTAACTCTTCTTCGATTAAAAATAACAATTGAGTCGATCTACGTATTAAGTGTTTTTGTCTACACATTCAAAACTATTTCATGTATCAGGCCTTCTTGTAAGAGGCGTGCGATCGCACGCCTTATATGACCACGCATGTAGTTCTTTGTTTTAACAACTTGACCACGGCTCATTGCAAATTTTGATAATTAGCGCATTTAAAAATTGCGCTAAAAAAAACAAAGCAAATTAAAATAAACAATCCATAAACTGAAAAGAGAATAAAATCCTTAAAATAATATATAACAAAAACTAACCTAAAAAAGTAAAATATTTAAAGAATGATAAAATAAATTAAGGAAAAACCAGAAAAAAAATCAAAACACGTATTAATTAATTTAAACTTAATTAGAAGCAAAAGTGAAAAAATCACAGCTCTAATAATCTTTATCATTCCTTTCCATGAATAAATAGGTTAATACAAGGGCGGATCCATAGTGAGGAAAAGGGTAATGAAATTTAATAAAATTTTGTGGTGCAAATTTAAAATTTCATTAAAAAGTTAATAGGATACAGGGTGCAACAAATTGACAAATGTGCGCGCATTTTTTTAAGACAGACAGAAAAACAAACATCACGTTTTTTCAAGTTTGCTTATGCAAACGTTGCCGTTTGATTAAGATTTTTCAAAACAAACGTGTTTCTTCAGTAATTATATCAAAATAATTTTGCGATCAATAGTTTTTTATTTATTACAAAAAACACATATTTAAAATGAAAAAAAATTAATTGCAGAGACTTTTTTTTAAAAAATGCCAAAACTTTTTTCAATTGCATTACTTTTAAGTAAAATAATTTTAAAAAAGTAGTAATTAAGTAAAATAATAAAAAAAAAGTAGTAATGTTTTAGCA